ACTTGGAGACGACCCCTTCCAGGCGGATGATGTTGTGGTGGCAGAACTGGCCCATGATGGTGGCTTCGCTCAAGAAGTCCACCCGCTGCTTCTCCGTGTAGCCTGACTTCAAGGTCTTGATGGCCACCGGCACCTCCTTCTTCCCATGCTTCAGGGTGCCCTTGTAGACCTCCCCAAATTCACCTGCTCGGAGAAAGGGGGGGACATTTAACCCCCACCCTGGTCCAATTTTGGGGTGTCTTTGGGGAGGCAAAGCCACCTGATGACCTACCGGCACCGATGACCTTCTGGCGGGTGATGGAGGATGGAGGGATCTCGGTGGTGAACTTGAGCATGGCTTGGTTGGGGTCTTCGTAGGTGTGAGGGTCAACGTAGGTCTTGAGGGGCTTCAGCTGGTCTGTGGGGTATCGGGGGTGGGGGGGTCAGCATCCATGTCACCCCCCACCCATCCCCGTGATCCCACCATCCTGTTCCTCACCTGACTTGGAGAAGTAGACGTCCTCCACAGACTGGCGCGGCCGTGACCTCCTCCTCCTGTGGAAAAGCAGTGGTTTGTCCCCAGAAATCACCTCTCACCCATCTTTGGTGATGGAAAATGGTATTCTGGGTATTTTTGAGGGGGTGTGCTTGTTTTTTTATCTCCTTACCGTCGGAGAAAGTAGAGGAGAGCAGCCAAGAGGACGATGACGAAGATGACACCAGCAACAGAGCCACTGATGACAGCGGCAGATGCCATGGCCTCGGCACCTGCAGGGACAATTTGGGGGGTATTCTGGGGTGACCATGCACCTCCTAGACCCCTCACCCCAAAATTCTGCCCCCTCCTTGGTCCTCACCTTCAGGCAGGGTCTCAAACTCGTGCTGGGGGCTGTAGGTGCCATGGCCGTCCTGGGTGAGCGCCTGGACCCGCACCACGTAGGCGGTGGCAGGGGACAACTTGGGGATGGTGACGGAGGTGCCCTCACAGCGCAGGACCGAGTAGCTGTTCTCATCCACCTGGGGACACGGGTGGGGGCAAGGATGGAGGTGACACAGATGGAGGTGACACGGGTGGAGGGGTGACATGGATGGAGGTGACATGGGTGGAGGGGTGACATGGGTGGGGGCAAGGATGGAGGTGATGTGGATGGGGGTATGACATGGATGGGGACAATGATGGAGGTGGCACAGATGGAGGGGTGACACAGGGGCAAGGATGGAGGTGACACGGATGGAGATGACACGGATGGAGGGGTGACACGGATGGAGGGGTGACACGGATGGAGGGGTGACACGGGGGCAAAGATGGAGGTGGCATGGATGGAGGCAACAAGGATGGAAGGGTGATGTAGGTGGAGGTGACACAGGTCGGAGGGGGGTAACACAGGTGGAGGTGACATGGATGGAGGTGGTGGGCTGAAGCTGTGACATGGGACGGACCTTCTTGCTGTAGGTGACCTCGTACTTCCAGACCCGACTCTGCTGCCGCAGTGGCACCGTCCAGGAGAGGACCAAGCTGGTGGCCGTCCGTCCATCCAGGCTCACTGATGTCACCCGGGGTGGCTCTGCCATGGGGACAGGGATGTCAACAGAGGTGTCCCCATGGGGGAACAGGGACATCATGGAGGGGTATCCCCACGGTGGAGAGAAGACGTGGGGAGACATTGGTGCCTCCTTACCCGTCTGGTTGACGCTGATGGTGGCGGTGGCCACGCTGCGGTGGTGGCTGTAGGGTGACACCCCGTTGCGGGCTTCAACGGTGAAGGTGTAGTTGACGTGTGGCTCCAGGTCGGTGACGGTCACCCCCGTCCCCGTCAACCCCCGGGGGGGCTGGGAATAGCGGAGGGCCCTGTCGCAGGGCCGGCACTCCCCGCTCTCGGGCCAGCACTGCTCGCAGGAGATGCTGTAGGTGACATCCCCACGGCCACCGGGGTCGGCGGGGGGGGACCAACGTAGTTGCACCGTGGCCCCCAACCCCACGGCCGTGACACTTTGGGGGGGCGAGGGAGGACCTGGGGAAGGGCAGAGAGCAGAGAGGGAGGGTCAGGGCTGGATGGGGGGGGGGAGATGGCCGTGCTGTGCCTCAGTTTCCCTCCCAAAAAATGTCACTTACGGGTGCAGGGGTCTCCGGGGGGGTCGTCGGGGGCGCGGAAGAAGCCGTCCTGGCAGGGGCAGGCGGCGGCGGCGGCAGGAGAGGGCAGGGTGTGGGGTGGGCAGGGCTGGCAGCCCCCCAGGGACACGGTGGCCTTGAAGGAACCGGGGGGACAAGCTGGGGGGGGGACACACACACATGAGAGACACACAGTGACATCAGTGAGACCCCAGATCCCCCCCCCCCACCCCCCTGGATGGGGGGGGGGAGATGGCCGTGCTGTGCCTCAGTTTCCCTCCCAAAAAATGTCACTTACGGGTGCAGGGGTCTCCGGGGGGGTCGTCGGGGGCGCGGAAGAAGCCGTCCTGGCAGGGGCAGGCGGCGGCGGCGGCAGGAGAGGGCAGGGTGTGGGGTGGGCAGGGCTGGCAGCCCCCCAGGGACACGGTGGCCTTGAAGGAACCGGGGGGACAAGCTGGGGGGGGGGGACACACACATGAGACACACACGAAACAATGACATCAGTGAGACCCCAAATCCCCCGTCCCCATCCACAGCATCCTCACCCAGGCGGGTTTGGGGGGGGACGAGGGGGCATCAAATTCCATCCCCAGCTCCCTCCTCAAGCACCCAGAGTGAGGATTTTAGGGTATTTAACCTTATTTTGCAGCTTCTTTATTATCCCCCCCCCCCCCGGGTCCTGTCACGCCCGCGGCACTAATGACGCTCAAGGGGGAGACTCCTTTAACCTTATTTTGCAGCTTCTTTATTATCCCCCCCCCCGAGTCCTGTCACGCTCGCTGCACTAATGATGCTCAAGGGTGAGCATCCAGGGCAGGGGGTTTCAGGGATAAGGCCTCATTTCTCTGCACCCCAAAATGCCCAGAGTGGGGGTTTTAGGGTATTTCACCTTATTTTGCAGTGTCTATTATTACTGGGACACACCCCCACCCCCCCCAGCCCACTCTTCTCCCAGCTGAGCCCCGTCACACTCACTGCACTAGTGGTGTTCAGGGGTGAAGATCCGGGGCAGGGGGGTTCAGGGCTAACACCTCATTTCTCCACACCCCAGAATGCCCAGAGTGGGGATTTTAGGGTATTTCCCCTTATTTTGCAGCTTCCCTTCTTACTGGGGACCCCCTCCCCAGTAAGAAGGGATCCAGCCCCCCCTCCCTTTCCTGGCTGAGCCCTGTCACACTCACTGCACTAGTGACGCTCAGGGGGTGAGGATCCAGGATGGGGGGGGTTGGGGTTGCTGCTGCATTGTCCTGACCCAAAGTGGGGATTTTAGGGTATTTCCCCTTATTTTGCAGCTTCTCTTCTTACTGGGGACCCCCCCAGCCCACCCCTCTGAGCCCTGTCGCACTCGCTGCACCAGTGATACTCAGGGGGTGAGGACCCAGGATGGGGGGGCTGTGGCTGCTGCTTCATTTCCCTGACCCAGAGTGGGGATTTTAGGGTATTTCACCTTATTTTCCAGTGCCTATTATTACTGGGGACACCCCCTCAGCCCACCCCACCCCTCTGAGCCCCGTCGCACTCGCTGCACTAGTGATGCTTGCAGGTAGGGATCCAGGACGGGGTGGATTTGGTGCTGCCACCTCATTCCTCCAACCCAAAGTGGAGATTTTAGGGTATTTCCCCTTATTTTGCAGTGTCTATTACTACTGGGGACACCCCCCAGCCCAGCCCACCCCTCTGAGCCCTGTCGCACTCACTGCACTAGTGATGCTCAAGGGGTGAGGATCCAGGATGGGGGGGGTTGGGGTTGCTGCTGCATTTCCCTGACCCAGAGTGGGGATTTTAGGGTATTTCTCCTTATTTTGCAGCTTCTCTTCCTACTGGGGACCCCCCCTCTGAGCCCTGTCACACTCACTGCACTAGTGACGCTCAGGGGGTGAGGACACAGGATGGGGGGGTTGTGGCTGCTGCTGCATTGTCCTGACCCAGAGTGGGGATTTTAGGGTGTTTCCCTTTATTTTGCAGTGTCTATTATTACTGGGGACACCCCCCAGCCCACCCCACCCCTCTGAGCCCCCTCGCACTCACTGCACTAGTGACACTTGCAGGTAAGGATCCAGGACGGGGTGGATTTGGTGCTGCCACCTCATTCCTCCGACCCAAAAGTGGAGATTTTAGGGTGTTTCCCCTTATTTTCCAGTTTATTTTCCAGTTTTTATTGGGGACACCCCCCAGCCCACCCCACCCCAGCCCACACCATCCCACCCCTCTGAGCCCCCTCGCACTCGCTGCACTAGTGACGCTTGCAGGTAGGGATCCAGGACGGGGTGGATTTGGTGCTGCCACCTCATTCCTCCGACCCAAAGTGGAGATTTTAGGGTATTTCCCCTTATTTTCCAGTGTCTGTTATTACTGGGGACACCCCGCAGCCCACCCCTCTGAGCCCCCTCACACTTGCTGCACTAGGGATGCTTGAGGTTGAGGAACCAGGATGGGGAATTTTAGGCCTAACACCTCATTTTCCTACACCCCCCCTGGCATGCAC